ATTTCCTTTTAGAGTGTAGCATAATTCTGCTGGTGTAATACACAGCTTTCCAATGGAGCACACATCTGACCTCCTCCGCCTCATAAGTCTCTATCGGTTTGGAGGCATCTATTTAGACATGGATATTATTGTCCTGAAGAGCTTAGAGAAATTACCCCTGAACTATGTGGGAGCTGAATCTAACTATTCCCTGTGCAATGCTGTTATTGGTTTAGCAGCCGATGGAATAGGTCATGAAGTTGCTGAACTATTTTTAGAGCGATATGTAAAATATTTCAATGGGAAAGCTTATGCACAAAATGGACCAGCTCTTGTGACAGCCGTTCTGTTGAAATTTTGTGGTACCAGCCTCATGAAGGCGATGGAAGACGGTCGTAAGAGCTGCAAGGGTTTTCGACTATTTAATACGACTGCATTCTATTCAATTCCTTGGCAAGAGTGGAGGCATTTCACTGAGCCCAGGTACCTGGAGGAAACTATGGAAAGAACTAAGGATTCATTAATGATACACATATGGAACATTGCGTCCAGGAGAGAGCGCATCAAAGTCGACTCCAATATTGCCTATGTAAAGTATGCGGAAAAATACTGTCCCAGGACGTATGCGGTAGCTGGTGATTACTTTTAATGTATTTTATTTAAGTCGGTTTCAAACAATATATTTCTAAAATAAATACGTTTCCTATATAAGCTATTCAAACAATAGAAGTGTGCATTTCACTTCTATTCTACGAAATTGAATGTTCCAACCTGTTGCTTACTTTCCAAACAAGAATAGGTGAACAAATATTGAATTTGTAAACATGAAGTCCAGACAGTCAGGCAATATTCTACGATGCGTATAGTAACACATAAATATAGTTTGGATAAAATATTTTTGTGTAAATGTATGTATATACCTGTACATGTATATAAAGAATATATATGTTCTTAACTAGGTTGATGAGCGTGTATATGTTGATGGCCATCAGTCCGCCAGTCCGCCCGTATGAACGCAGCTACATCGTAAACCAGATGAATACACTTGACTATGATGGTGTTTAGTTTTGTAATGATCTTTATTTTTCTGAGTTTATATACCCAGACTCATGCATATTTTCAGCCCTTAAATCTAGTGCTTCTATTGCTGAGTTTGTAAGGCTCAGCGTGGATATATTAG